AGGCCTCAGGTTAGATTTTTCTCTAGGCAAATGCTTTCCTAGCCTCTAGAGACAATTTTGTTATCTGTTAAATAGCTGCCATTATGGTGTCACGATCCATTCAATGTCAAGGGTTTCTTTCCAAACCGTTAATTTCTCTAATTCCATTGAAACAGTTAAAACCCCAAACCTACTTCATCTGTTTCAATTAAGTTTAGAGACTCTGCTCTTCCTTTTGGAGATGCTAATGCATTTCATTCCACAGTGTGGGTGCTGGATAGCTCTCAACATTGGAACGTCCCTCCCCGCACATGCACGCACTAGGTAAGAGGAGGTGAGCCCTTATTAGTAGGGGAAGGGCTTTAAAGGAGGCATTTATTAGCAAAATCAACCCAATGTTAAGACTGTTGTTTCCATGGTTCTCTCTCTCCTGTCACACAGCTGAAGAAGGCTCTTCCCTTCTTCGACTCAGGCACAGTCCTTTCCATAAGCAGCTTTTCCCCATAGTCCTCTGATGGAAAGGACTTTGGTGTTCTTTTACCTAGTAGTTCAGAAATTCCTCAGGGAGATAGTTAAACTGCCCTTACCCCGTAGCAGATCCAGTTTCTCAGTGTAAATCAGACCTAATTCTTGGGCTTTTCATCAAAACTGTTTTTTGAGCCCTTTTTTATTTGTTCCCTGTATGGACTTACTATGAAGCCATCGCTATTGCGTGGAAACCGTGGAGATACAAGCTGTACTGATAGATAGCACGTGTCTGTTTTCTCAGGATGTTATGGGGATCGAGCCTGTGTGCCTTCAGAAGGTGATGAGTTGTTATGTTAGCGAGGTGATTGAGTTTTGTTATACCTGTTTAAGGCTGATAATGGTTTTTTTTGTATTTTGGTGGCTATTGTCATTACACTTGAAACAATTCCAAAAGCTGTTTGTGCAGCAACTGATCTGAAGGATCTACTGTTTCTGCGCCCAGACTGTGAAAATGAGTAGGGAGATGCGCTGAATATCAATTATGGGACTTTCCCTGTCTTGATAGAACAATCCTATGCAAGGATTGTTCCTTGGAGTTGAAAGCGTTGCGGCCTGTAGTCAGTCGCTCACAAGCGGAGAGTTACGGACACAGAGTGAGTTCTTCAAGAAAAGCTGTCTGCCTGTATATTTAAAGTTCATCTTCTCTGTCTTCTCATCCAGAGCTTCTTTAGTATTCAACTGTGTTAGGATTATGTGGATGAAAGGGAATAAAGATGACATCAAGCATGTCTCTGTGGGCTGAGCAGGAGGGATGGCAGAAGTGCGGGTGCTATGCGTAAGTCAGTAATTCAAAGGAGAACGTCTGTGTCCTTAAGCAAGGAGGCTCCTGTATGCCCACAGTGTGACTGTACGCATGGCTTGTGCATCTCAAAGGACTCTTTTTCATGGCAGTATAATAATCTATTTTTTAATCTCAGTGTAGTAATTCTGTTTTCATTTTGGAGATCAGAATTAAGTTGCAAAGGGTTGAGTGGGTCCTTGCACGGTGCAGTTTTTGTGCATATGTAATTTTAAGTAAGAAAATGTCTCCTGAGCTCTAATCCCCCCAACATCGATGTTCTGCAGGCAGTTATTTTCTGTGTTTTAATTTTTCCCTTGTGCTGAATGTTGCTTTGTTTCTTCTCATTTCACTCGTTCTTTACAGCGTCTTCTTTCTCTGCTCAGTGCTTTATCTTTTCCATTTTCCTGTATCAACTTCTTTTTTTACTTTAAGTCGTCCTGAAATCACATTTCAGTCTAGCTGATTCGTTGCAAGAAGCACAGAAGCTTTTATGTGGTGCACTTAGTAGGTACGTGTTAAGCAGGCAGTTAGGAGAAAATATCTAAGTAATAGTGGACTAAAGTAATCTGTACTGCAACTCAGATTTGCTGAAATTCTGAGGTGTGAGACAGTGCTGCTCTCTGCCAGTGTGACACTTTTATTAAATTGAGCTACCACTAGTTACCGCCAGCATAAATGAACTACAGACCAGGTTGCCATCCTTTCAGTTTATGTAAAATTTGATGTTTAGCTGTTGATGAGGATAATGCAGGAAATATTCCAGTAGCTCATGCAAGCCTAATTTTTCTGGATGTATTTTTTTCCTTGCTGTCTGCAACTTTCTGGCCACTAATCTGAACATGTACTGACGGAAATTCATCAGCCTCCTTCCATTCCCCCAGAGATTATTTTTTAGACTTATGCAATGCAAGATATTAAAAACGCTTTTGTCTGTCACACAGCCACGGGCAGAGGAGGTGGAATTTGCCAGTTGCTAATGGATACCTGGCGTTTTTGTGTATGACCATGAAGAACAGCTTGTGCACTTTCACCCCTGATGTTCCCTGAATAACTTGGGTCTCATTTAGGTCAATAAGCCTTTATCAAAACGTCAGGAGTGAAAAATGTGCCTTGGTGTAAGCCGACTGGTCGTTCCCTCCAGTCACTGGAGTCTATAGAACAATAAATGTTCTCTAAGCTTGTCTGCGTGTCATGCAAAGAACTGGATGACAGTAACCATTGACTGCATGTCTGTTGCATTGTCTTTGGGACAGCCCACATTTGCATACTTGCCAGTGTTCCTGTTACCCAATGAACCATGGAGGGGCTTTAAAAAACATACACAACTCTAATGCAAATTTCCTACACAGAAAATACACACTTTATTTTTTTTTGAAGCACAATCCAGGCTTTCACTTTTTACCTTCTTAGTATAAAAATGAAACTGTGATCCTGACAAGCCCACATATTTTTGTCAGAGCACTCTGTGTTGTTTTCTTGTGCTCGAACATTAACTTTTTTGTTCTTTTTTTCCTTTCCTTTCCAGAATTTTGTTTTGCTTTGCTATTGGTAGTCTGCTTTTGGGGATATCTGACCAGTGTTGTCTCTGCCGACATGTATGATATGAGGCCATACATCCCTTGCTCAAATTACTTATTTAGAGTGAAGAACACTTCTTGCTCCCTGCAAGGTTGCTACTGTCGGTTCTTGAAAGCAGCTCGCTCTTAGGAGTGATGAAAGAAGACATATTGGCCTTCTGCAGGCAGAAGTGTATTTGAATATTAGAGTTTACTGAATGTAGCTCGGAAATGAATACAGTCTCCTAATCAGAAAAGGCAGCCTCTCGTGCTTTATTTTGCTTTAATATTTTAACAGAACTGCATGCAAAGGAGCGTTCTTAACTTGATGATACAGTGCAAGTTCCTCAATAGCGTGAAATGAGATTGAACAAAGGGGAAATTTCACGGCATGTGAAGCTGCTTTCATAAGACGCAATCTTTCCTTAAAGTATCTGCTACAGGTGGTGTTTCTTTAGATTTTGTAAGTGTCACTTTATCTCACTGAGAAATATTTAGTAATACTCCAATTAACAAAATCCTGAAGGGTCTGGGTGTCCCTTTTGGAAGTAAGCTGTGGAAGAGATTCTTGGCTGGCCCAAAGGGGTTGAGTTTCATATTTATAACAGCCAAGGATCTGGAAAGTTTTATTATATCTTGGAAATCTAATTGGAGTGCAGCAACTATAAACAATTGTGAGAGCTGTTTGTGTGTCTGACGTCATCTTGCACATATTATGAGACTGTCAAAGCTGAGAGTGTGTGTCCTGGCTAATGTTCTCCTAGCTTTTCAGAAGTGTCACAGAGTCTGACTTGAACACTGTAGCGCCCTGAAGTGAGCAGTTCATTATACCATCAGAAGGCTGGAGTTTGAGCCACAGAAAGATTATAGGGAAATAACTGATGCATAGCAATTCCTCTCCGCCACATCCTTTTATTGTTTGCAGCCCTATTATTTTACTGACTGTTCAGGGCAGTGTCCCATGCGTTTTTGAAGCTGATAGTATCACTCACTGCCGTTTAGCTTGATTGGGCTAGGGCTGGATCTTGAATATTTTGAGTAATTTAGAAAATAAGTATAGGTGCCATCTTGAGTCCAACTTGCCAGTTTGTTATCGTGAAAAACAGCAGTGAATACTGCAGAAATTTGAGAATGTTGGGTAAAACGTTAATTCACCACCATGTCATCTTCTCGACAGTTGCTCTTTGAATTAAATCACTCTATGTAATGAGCAGCTTGTTCTCTTAAACTGCATTGTCCTTTCATACCTTATGATTAGCTTCTCTGCTTTACAATTTCCGTTATGCCGTGTGTCATGTTTTCAGTTACGAGCTGCATTATTGTTCCAATTAGTAGTTTTCCTGTTGGCTTTGACAGAGAATATGACCACTTATTGAGTATGGCCTATAAGGAAGCATTGCACCTACCTGATCCTTGAAGAAACTGCGCTGAAGATGCCATGGTCAACCGGTCTCTAAAAAACCAAGGTTTATCTGGGTATTAACTAAGCTGCAGGTTTGACATAATTGCACCTCTTTCTAATCAAGAAGATGTCAGATGTCTTTGACTCTTTGCACACGTTTCCAGAGTCATGCCTCGGTGTAGGTCTACGGTAAACAGCAGTGCTTGGTATTAATAGGAAAGGTGTGCATGATTTCTCCCCAGATTTTCAATGCATTTGGAAGCTGACATGTCAGTAATGGTGCCAGAAATGTTACTTTAATCCATGTGGGATTAAACGAAGACTGAAAAAGTATAAATAAGTGGTTGATTAAACTGATATTGCATCTGGAAGGTGAAGCACACCTCTTACGGAAATGGAACATACTAACAAACTACTCATCTGCTCACTAGAGACTCTGCTTGTTTTCTTTGGCTCAGTTAGGACACTTTCTGTTTGAATTACAGAGACCAAGTGAATTGGCAGAATAGTTTCAGATCTAGCACACGTAGATGAGCCAAACTGCATGCAATTATGGTGTTTAAACTTGCTCTTAATCTTTTATTTCTTTATGCTTACCAATTTTCCTATGTTATTTTAGATCATTTTAGCATAGTTAACATTTTTTTTGCCTTCCCAATTTTACATCTTATTTTAGCTTTCCCTAATACGTTCTGAAAAAAGATGAAGGATATACAGTAGAAAATTAACCTAGTTCTCTGTCTGTTTCTTTTAGGAAATTGTATTAGTAGTATTCTTTGGAACAGAATACGTGGTTCGGTTATGGTCAGCAGGATGCCGCAGTAAATACGTTGGAATATGGGGAAGACTTCGTTTTGCTAGGAAGCCTATTTCAATCATTGGTGAGTATGCATGACTTGCAGAGTTGTCATAAACACTGAGTAAAAGTCATCCTTGGCAGTTTTAAGAGAAATGGAATTTCCGTAGCAGTTGTAGCCAGGTTAGAGCAAGAGCGCTTCTCACTAGTATTTACGTACATTTGAATTTTCTTTCAGGAATCTACGGCACTGTCATTTAAAAACAAACGTAGCTTCGTTTGTTTTTCTTGAAAAGCAGTGTGTTTTATTTTCAAAAGTGATCTGAAACTTTGCCGGAATTAAGTCTTGGCTGCAATCCTGTCTCCTGTGACCTCAGCATCCCAGACATTGTATAACAGCTACAACTTTATTTTTCAAAGATACTGAAAGGCCTCTTTTTCCAGCATCCATTTGAATATTTTAATATGAGTTTATCTGGCACACTGCTTTAGCTGCCTCCAACGTGGTGGGGCATGACAGGTGTGCTGTTAGTACTTTATATACCTACTAGGTTAAAATAGGATTTTTAAAGATGCATTTGGAAATGGGCACCTGGCTCCCTCTGACGTTCAGTGCAGTTGGCTTCCTAACTGACAGCAGTGTCCTTAGAAAATTGCGTCCTTTATTCGGTGTATGTCACAACCCATAACTTTTTTCTTTTTTTTAAGAATGCTTGTCCTGCGTTTAACAATTTCTGTCTTAAGAAATGTAACCATCCAAATCAAGCTGTGTATTGCTAGCCGGTATTATATGTGTTGTGTAAGGACCCATGCCCTGAAGCACTTACCTGATTTGTCTAATTTGTGTATACTGTATGGGAAGCGGAATGTTGTTATACAAGCATAGTAGTGCCTGATCTGTGACAGACAGTTATTTCCACCACTCAACAGTACTACTTGTTGTTGAGTAGGGGATTCTGTTCTTCATAAACAGTGTACAGTTTTTCTGACTGTAAATTATAAAATGTTGTACTAGGGTATTTCTACAAACATAGAATTCTTCAGATTAGTTTCTCTCTCTCTCTCTCTCTCTCCTCTCTCTCTCTCTCTCTCTCTCTCTCCATATATATATATATATATATACACACATATATAAATAGCAAATGTGTCTCAGATGTTGCTGAAAGTATAATATGACTTTGGCTGCTTCTTTGCACTCTGTCCTCAAATCCATTTCTCCTGAGACCTCGAGCAGTACAGATTCTGAAACATCTCCAAATTACTTTCAGCTTGGGAAGCAAAACAAAGTTCACCTTTCCTAGATATGTATCGAAAACTCTATTTTCCAAAATATGGAATTCCTTTCCAAAATGAGCTAGGCCTGAAGCAGAGAAATTTAGTGTCTGTCCTAGGGCAATGACTGACTTAATGTAAATGAATCACATGCTGATTTTAATTTTTCTCTCCCTTTTAGACCCTGACAGTTGAAATTATATTAAATCAAGGACATCTGGGAAATAACACCCCAAACCTCTGCCAATAATAAAACTATTTCTAAAGCGTGGGGGAAAATAAGAGCGATAATAGGTAGAAACTGGTGAATTCCTTCACAGGCTGTACCTAATATACAACCCAGTCTGCGGAGGCTGTTTTATAACAACTTATATCACTCTTGTCACTCATCTAGAACGTGGCCATCTCAGACCTATCCTAATGAAACCTTTCTATTATATGACACAAGTATATTTTCCTTATATGTCAGACTAGAGATCTCTCGCTATAATCTTAATTTGGGGTCTTCAAAGTGTTAAAGTAATGTAAGCAATAGTTATAATAACAGTTTTGCAGAAGTATTGAAAGAAACCACTAACTCATTTTTGCAATTGACTTTTATTTTCCAGATTTAATTGTAGTGGTTGCTTCCATGATAGTTCTTTGTGTGGGGTCTAAAGGTCAAGTCTTTGCAACCTCAGCTATCAGGTAATTATACTCAATAAAAGAAAATAGTGCTGTCAGTTTAAGTAAGGTTTTATCTTTCCTTTTTAGCCTCCCACAACAATTCTTACAGGTGGAAACCAGTCACTCCTCTGACATTCATGTAACAGAACAGATCACTAATCATTTATGGATGTGAAACCGAGTAATCCCGTTAAGTTTCTTGGATTGGTTTTATGGTAACTCTTTCATACTTCATGTCTCCTTCATGTCTATGGCTTTTTTACAAGCTACTTCTTCATAAAATGCCTGGGCTTAGTCATTGTGAATTCTTGATTGACTGAATCTGCCTTGAGCTCAGAAAGATCAAGCTACTAGGTTTTCTTGAATGAGAGAGTACAGGGCAATGTACTGTGCTCTGCACGCTAGGCTTGCGGTGATTCTCTCATTAAAAGAATATCTTAAAATACTATTCCACTCAAATTGTTACCAATTTGAATGAATAACTTAGATTACACAGGTGAGGAATTCAAATCTTTAGTTAGCTGTTTCTGTATGTTTTTCCCCTCCTGACAAGCAGGTCAAATAAGAGTTGATGAATGGCTTCCAGAGCATTCACTTGTCTGTGTCAAAATTCCTGAATCCTTGAGTTATCCTTACCAAGCATGTATTTGAAGGTCGATCTCCTTCTGCGCAACCTCCCTGTGCTGTCTAAATAACAACTGGGTGAAAGATGGGTGAATGGAATGAAAGGAGAAGAGTTAAGTCTACCACAAAATACTATGTGTCTCCTTTTAAATAGTCCTTTGAATCACAGAATCATGGAATTGCAGGTTGGAAGGGACCTCTGGAAATAGTCTAGTTCAACCTTTGCTGCTTAAAGCAGGATCAGCTAGATCAGGTTTTCTTTGGAAGAGACCGACTTCCCTTTCACCACCTCTGTTGTGTGTGTGCGTTTTCTTTTTTTGTTGTACCTTTAGCCTCTTCATTGATTCATTCATTTAAAAATTGTATTCCAGGGGCATCCGTTTTCTGCAGATTTTGCGAATGCTGCATGTTGACCGTCAGGGTGGGACATGGAGGCTATTGGGATCAGTAGTTTTCATACACAGACAAGTAAGTCGGAGCGCTCTGAGGAGCTTCATAATAATCGATGCAAAAGCCCTTGTATTTGAAACAGCACGTATGCAGACGTGCTGATGATGTCAAATATATTTAATGTGGAGACAGGCAGTCATTTTATTTTATCCAAATCTGTTTGTCCTACCCTGTTCAGAGGACGAAAAGTTCCTAAACATTAAAAATGTTCACCTATGCTTTGGCAAACTTCTGACCTGTAATTTAGTTCTGTGGATTTAACCACAGAAGGTGAGACTTCTGAAGGTGAGCCTGAATATTTCTAAAGAAACGCATCTAAGTTCCAGAGTTGTTTTCAATGTGGTGCTGTTTGAAAAATTTACCCAACCAATTTTTGATTACCATCACATTTGCAAGTGGTGAACATCCAGTTGTGTTAGACACTGTGTTTGAAATGTGCATACTGGGCCAAGTCATCAGCAACTGTAAATTCTATCCTCATTGAACTGGGTACATACTTCTTAATTTGCGCAGCTGCCAGTCCGTCCATGTCTATAAATTGCTGAAATTACCTTCTTCTGTTTTAATTTTTGTTCCAAAAGCATCAGGTAATTTAAATCTCTCAGCAAAATTGTAACGTTCTTATTTTGATTCTATTTGCAGGAACTGATAACGACACTGTACATTGGGTTTCTGGGCCTGATTTTTTCCTCTTATTTTGTATACCTGGCCGAAAAAGATGCTGTAAATGATTCTGGAGAAACAGAGTTTGGCAGCTATGCAGATGCCCTGTGGTGGGGAGTAGTAAGTATAGAAATTTAAGATATATATATAGAAAAAAAAAAAGTAGTTAACACACTCAAATATATGCGAAGAGAAGTAAAGTTCAAGCAAGCATGGAATAAGAACAGCAATTTGAAGTGGCCTTTTGTTGCTACAACAGACTCTCTGGTTTTGTTATTGTATTAGACTGAGAAAATACTAGAGAAAACATTAGATTAGTGCTTTAATTTTGTGTTTATATTCTTGTATGATCTGAAGAGATCAAATTAGGCATGGAAGACATAGAAACAGCTATTCTTATTTCTTTACCTTGTCCTCCCTTCTGCTATACCAATTTAAATTTTGCTACCTCTCTTAAGGTGGGTTTGATCTTCTGAGGTGGTAGAAGCCTTGCTGAATCAGGGCTAGCTGTGTGGGGTTTTTGTTCGTTTGTTCTAGGGGTTTTTTGTTTGTTTGTCCCATCCCATCTTAAGTTCTGCTTTGTTACCTTTTGCTAATCTTTTTGTATTATACGTACTTGTTTGGTAGCTTTATTCTGGGATTTGTATTTATATAAACATTTGAATGTTGTTGCCTCTGCTAGTGATGATTCCCTTTCTCTCTTTTCTCCCATGGTATACAAATATTAAGTTGGCTGCTATGTTCTGGGATTTCCAGTCTATGCTCGTTTCCCTTTCCTTTTCCTATTGGAGTTCAAAGAAAATTATTTTTTGTAATCTGTTTTTCTTATCGTTAGCATTTAAGCAGTGACTTATTATTATCTGCTATAATTCTATAAGATTTTCTTAATAAAATCATTAAGTACTCCAGATCTTTAAATTGTGCAGGCGATGCTAATGATTCAACGTTTGCATTTTCAAAATGTGCTGTTCTTCTAGGGTCTTCTCTGCACTGATTTTTTTTTTTCATTAAAAATTGAAACTACGTGTAAGTCTCAGGCAGAAGACGCATAGAACTAATACCTCAATTTGACTAACAGAATATATGTTCTTGAGGAATATTTTTGAAAAAATTCTATGTGAATGTGTGCTTATGTTATCTTCTTTCTATAAACAGTGCAACTTTCTACTTCAGGAAAGAAGCAGCTATTGATGAATAGTTCAATTCATAGGTAGCCATTTATGAATCCAACGGTTTATCTTTTTGTTTAGATTGCTACTAAGATCTGCTGCAGAATTCTTCTCTCTTTCTGTCTGCCATGATTATATACAATCTCTTTTAGGATCAAAAAACTTGCTGTATTGCACAAGGAAGTGGCTTTCTGGCAAGTAGCTTTCCAGTGCTTTAAAGTCGCCATAGCATTTTTACTTTTCAGTACAGGGGTCAGATGACTCAGTAATTAATAGTGGCAGAATGAAGTCGCGTTTAAAAACACATACTGCTATTGGCCTAAGCATTAAAAGTTGAGTACCTTACAGGCAGGACCGACTTACTGAAAATACAGTAAAGCTTTCCATAGAAGCAATAAGATCTGATGGGATATAGAAATTTTCCCTTCCTTCAGAGAATTAGTCAGTTAATAGGCATGCCAGTTATTTTGTCTTTCTAATTATGATTAAACCTACTGACTAAATAAATTTATCATGATCATAATCTTTTTCTGTTGTAAGTTCTATTGCAGGATGCCACTTGAAGTGTGATAATGTATTAGAAGAATCGCTAATGTAGCCTTGTTAAAATTAAACAAAGCAGAATTTAGCGTCTTTGTTCTGCTCTGAAAGCAGATGCTGCACTTCTGCTAATTGCTAAAAACATTTAGCAAAACAAACTGAGGTGGATTAAGGTCCATCCATTTCTGATATTTTGATACTGTAATATTCTTCATGCTGTCCTTTAGAAAAAGGTCCTGTAAGGTCAGGACGATATCTTGGAGGTCATTAATTACCAGCATGCCTCTTAATAAAGGTCTCAAACTTGATTGGAAAACATTCTCAAAAAGATTAGTTCCCAAAAGTTTGTTATGTTTTAGCCAGAATTTCCAGAACTGCTTAAGCACCGCAAATTCTGGCCATTAAAAACCTGTCTCCATCTGTTTTGCACCAGACTTGTAGAAGAGGGTAGCTGACAATTTCTGTTTCAAAGGCCACCTCAGATGTATGATTTATCTGGCATGTAACTGATCTCACTTCTCCTGGGACTTGCTTAGCTTATGTAGTAGAGAATACTGAAAGAAAAGCACTTGATAACATCTTCACATCCGCTTCTTCACCCTAAAACATTATATATTTTTTGTTATCTCAACATATATCTGTACTGCTAAACAAGTTCTTCGGGTAACGGCAGTAGAATATGTAGCGTAGTATAAAGCAGACCATATAAAAGGTCTGTGTTACCACAGCTAAACTGCGTCTGGAATTGGGTGCTTTTATACTGCTTTGCTTTGCCAAGTATAGACATACTCATACAGTGCATAACTTTTAATTAATGTTCTTTATTGCCATTGTTATTTATAAATCTATATTACTTTTCTGTTTCTATGTGTAAATTGGCCTCCTGTGCTTCATTTGAATTTTGTGGAGCACTGAGGGCTGTAGCTATTAGCCGTTCCAGTCTGTGGGCTTCTTGGAGAAACCTGAGGCTACTTTGTGCGTGGAGGATTTGTCAGTGTTACTGCCATTTTTGACTGCAGCACGTGTATAAATAATTCTGCTGATGAATGCACATACCTGTTTTTCAAAAGACAAGGTGATTATCTGCAGGTAAAATACAAATAAAATGATGCATCACTAGGCTCCCCAGTGGAAACGTTCAAAGTTACTCTGGTTATGTTGTCCTTCATGTGCAGACTTGCAGTCTTAAAGACCTAGTATAGATTCTGGACAACAGAAACACCACCACCACCACCACCACCAAAAGATGTTAAATGTTCTCACCAAGCCTGTCAAAGAAGATCACCTTCAGGAAGTGTTATTGGCCCACTGTCTGTGTTTTCTTTCTTCTTGAGCATTAAATTAAATCATGCCTCAGGCAGGCTGAGGGGATCCCTCCTTTTGATATCCACTGAATGATACACTATTTCCAACCTTCACATCTGAACAAACATCCTTCAGGAAAACCAGTATGTGGACTGTGCTGACTACAGTCTCTTTGATCATGAGCACCATTTGCCACAATCAATTATTGATTATAGCCATGCAAGGATATTATAGTATGCCCATTCCTTTGAACTGGATCTAGCAATTGTCTGTGAGTAGCAGCTTAGTTAAGTGTTTCCTGTTTCTTTGATTCATAGATACATAATTTCTCACCAGGGACCATATTCAATAAAAGATTTTTAACTATGCTTACTTCTAAGCATACATAAAATTGGATTCCTGTTTATCAAAGCCTATAAGCATGTGCTTAATTTAAATTGAAAATTAAAATTATTCAAGAGCTTTACTGAAAAGTTGAAAAAATACAACTTGATATTGCATATGTGCATAATTTTTTTGCTAAATTAGAACAAATTTGATTTAATTTATACATAGCTGCACATAAATGTTGAAAAATAGCCACAGAAAAGGGAATTTGTATTATTCTGAACCCTTTTTTTTCCATCTCTAAATTAAAAAGCTATTGAGGACTGTATGCTGACTTCAGTGTTAGACATAGGAAAACACTTCATTGTTGTTCTTTTTGTGCTTTACAAGCCGAGAATACCAACTACAAGCCCATTCTTTCTTTTTTCCTTCTATTTTTGGGGATGAAATGGGATTTTTCAGACTTCACAGAGGGAGGGCTTGGACAATAGGAGGGTTAGTATTTCTAAATACTGCTTGCATTCAATCCATGCATCTCCCAACTTACCTTCTCATCTATGAACTTTAACTCTCAAAGCAGTTCCAAGTACTTTTTCATCCTCACTTAATTAAGTTATATGGGGTAGATGTGAAGAAGCCTTTCAAAATTCTTGCTTCCAAGGTACAAATGAAGATATTCTTACATATAAAGAAATTGCTTCAGACTTTTTTTTTTTAATTCTGCCTTAATCCTCCTTCAATCTAGAAGAATCCAGAAAGTTTTAACAAAGTGATTTTTTCCATTCAATAAAACAAAATTAAATCCTTTCTAGAAACTTGCCATTTTCTAGGCCAGGATTGAGAAAAAAAAAATAGGGTAATTAAGGAATTGTGCTTTCAGTCATACTTTAAAACTTACATAGATTAGGCTTTGGCTGGAAATGGGTCTGTAGCAGGCTGAAGCAAACTTTGCTATGATTAGTTTTCCATCATACGGTTAGAATTATCCTCGTTCAAGGATGCTTTAAAACTTCCATTCTAAGGTATTTGGTTATCCTGTATATGCTTAAGCACCCTTTCCCTGCACCACCCTTTTGGTACTACCTAGATAATGCTGTTTCTTTTCAGTATGTATAAATACTATTACAGTATATATAAATGTTATTATGTTTTGCTAGATGTAATACAATACAAATGCTGCCTGGGGGGGAAAAAAAAGCTGCATCATTTCCACAGATACTTCACAAATTATAGTCAGAATATCTATGTCTGTTGCTAGCTTTCCCGACTATTTCCTTCCATATCACAGCTGAGATTTAGAGGTTATTACTTGGATGGGTTGTTTTATTTTCTGACATTTTTTGTGCAGAAATGGTCTGTTGCACAAAGGCTAGATAACAGAAAGTCCTTTACTGTAGATTTCAAGAACTCTGTGTGCTTGAGTTCGATGCTGGGAAGATCAAATCCGATGTGCAGAACTGGCTGTTGATTTTTCTGGGCAATTTGACTGGTGGTGACCAGCAGACCTCCCACTATGTCCCGTTTATCTGATTAGCAAGCAGAGAAGGGCTGGGCTGGCATACTGCAGCCTGCAGTGTCCTTAAGGAAGAAAGTGGCTATTGCCATGCTCTAAAATCTGAACAGCTGACAATGGATTAATGATCAGGCTAAGATGCAAAGCTGCCTGTGTCTCCAGTGAGTTTTACTGCACGTGTACATGTATGATTATAGGTTTACTACTGTGTTTGGGTCTAAAACCATCTGTTAACTCCAACTAAGAATGATCAACACGCTCTTGTA